ACTTCAACATCTTTTGAATGTCACTGAACCTATGGAGTTCTTGTTCTGATTAGTAGTCTTTAAAATGTCATGAATAATAATTAAAGAAATAGTTCATATAGTTTAAGGACTGATTTATCCCAAGAATGTTTCTACCATAAATAATTTTAAAAACCAAGTCATAACGTACGTGTGCACCCGTACATGTTCATGTTTTAAAAGAGCATTAGAAGTTCAAAGATGCTTTCTACATGCACACCTTCTCACTATATCTCAGGATTCTCCCCAAAACAAGAAAGTCTCCATGGTTAAATAAATGCAATATGTTCCAAATTCTATCACCTTCTTTGTGAGAAAAATCACCCATCAAAAGTGATAAGAAGTCTTTTTTTGGTGTGGGAGAGGGGTCAGTGATTGAACTCAGGGGCACTTGACTACTGAGCCTTATCCCCACCCCACTGTGCATCTGATTTAGAAACAGGGTGTTTTCCTCTCTGCAGGTGGGCAAAGAGGTTTGCCCAAATCCTCCTGACATCACCATTGGGTTTAGGACTCCAGGAAGGGGAAACTCACCAATCGAAGGCCAGTAGTGGATGGAGTTCTGGCGGTCGAGAAAATGGGTTCAGGCTGTCCAGTGAGTGGCACTACCGAAGGAAGAGGGAGCCAAAAGTGGGTTTTAACCCTCTCCCGGGTTTCGGCACCAATGAAAGAAAAGTGACCACAACACTCAGAGCAACCAAGAGATCTTTATTGCAGCAGTGCAACAGAGGAGAAAAGAGAGAAAGAGGAGAGAGAGAGAGAGAGAGAGAGAGAGAGAGAGAGAGCGCGCGCGCGCGCGCGCGCAAGAGCGCAAGGATGCACAAGAGAGAGACAGAGAAAGCAAGAGAAATAGCAAGATAGAGAAAGCAAGACAGAGAGGGGCCCGGCAAGAGGGAGTTTTTATAGCCCAAATCTAATGAGGTCTCTGGGTCTGCAAGCTGCCTTCTTGGCACAAGGGGGGTTAAGTACTTGGCCTTGAGTGGGGGTTGAGTGTTCAGCCTGGGGGGGGGGGCAAAGCGCTCAGCCTTGAGCAGGGACTTGGGCGTTTGGGCTTGAAGCAACCAGGTGATAAAGAGCCAGACAGAGGGTTTGAGTGACCAGGTCACCCTGCAGCTAACTTTGTTTGGCATGCCCTGCAGACAGTTTACTCAGTCTGTCCTGCACCTAACATTCTATAACTTTCATTCTCCGCAGTAATATATAGAATCATAATCCTAATAGCTTTTGAAACACCAAGAAAAGTTTTAAGGTATACTAATAAAAATGTACTGATAAATATTTCATTATATTCTACTGTTAAAATCAGATTAATTAAAACAAAGTTTCAGTTAAATATCTCCCGTCCTAATTTTTATACACAGATTTTATTGTTGGTTTAAAAAAAGAGAGATATGTCAGAGGTTGAGTGGATTAATATTAAACAAATAAATTTCAAGTATACCATGAAAAATTTTTTGCCACATGCTATAGGAGAAACATTAAAAGTATGACATTCTAATAGAGGCAATGACCGAAGTAAAAAATTATAATAAGACATTAAATATATCTGTGTGCATATATAAGCGTTTACATATATATATATATATATATATATATATGCATATCTATGTGAGATATACATATTTATACCTCATCCCTGTATGAAAAAACAAAAATATAACTAGCAAGTCTTATAAATAATTCAATTACATTTAGAATATAAATAGTTCAAACTGAAGCCAAAGAGTTACAAATGAGAACTATATAACTGGGTCTGTTTTCAATTCATACTAATCTAATATCTTTCACAGGTTTCAAAGTTCAATGCACATATTAGTTTGCTCAACTGAGTAATTTTCTCTTTCAGCCTAACTTAAAATAGCTCTAATGAATAACTCAGGTGGTTTCTCATTTCTGAAAAGGTTTCAATTAAAGGTATATTTTGAAAATGCAAAACTGAAGTTTCATATAAACACTTATCATTGCTGTTATCATGTCACTGTACTTAGTATTCCCACCTTGGTTTAAAAAAAAAAAAGTAAACTGATATTAGCTACCAAAAAAAAAAAAAAAAAGATAGATACATTCCATACTGAGCTACAAAAAACAGCACATAATTTTGAGTAAGAGGACCTAAGTGCCACTCCTGGCTCCACCACTTGTTACATGATTCTAAACAAACTATTTTAACTTTCTCAACCTGTTTTCTCATCTGGTTAATGTAGATAATATCACTACTGCAATGCTGAGATGTAAAGGAACCAGGTACAAATTCAACATTTTCTAAGCACAGGCAATGCTTGCTGTGCATGACTAACTTAAAGACAGGATAATCTTTCATGCCACATATCATCATTGTATATTTTGAGATATAACATGAATTAAATCATCCTCTAAAACCTGCAGATCTAAGTTAGAACTAATACAGTAAAAAAGAAGTCCCACACTACTAATTTTTTAGTAACCAATATTTAGTGAAATTTTACATCTAAAATATTTCAAAATAGTACCATTTCACAAGGCTTAGAAGTTTTGTTTTTGTTTTTGCTTTTTGCTTTTTTTTTAAGGTCAGAAAAAAGCTAAGGTGAAGTAAAAAGTCTTTCTCAAGTAACAATAGTCTTTCAGTTTACTAACAATATTCAGACAAGGAAGTAGCATGTTTTAAAACCTATCAAAAGAGATGAAAACTACTAAATGAAAAGCAGCTGAGGCTGGAGTTGTGGCTCAATGGTAGAGAGCTTACCTAGCACAGGTGAGGCACTGGGTTAAATTCTCAGCACCAATAAAAATATCATTCCATATTAAAAGATATAACCAAAAATATTTAAAAAAAAAAATAAGAAAAAGAAAAGCAGCTGAGCAAAATGGTCATCACTCTGTGCTCAAGAGCCAGATGAAATTCTAGTTTCAACTATGTCACTAATAATCTTTTAACCTTGGATGACTCTCTAGGCTTCAGTTTCCTAATCCATAAAAATGAATACTGAAAACTATAAATGAAATCCAAGGACAATTTAATCTAGATCTTTCTTTGAAGAGGCGATCCAGAGTAGTGATTAACAGAATGGCTCTGTAGTAAATGCCAAGGTTAAAACCCTGGGTCTGCCACTTACAAACTTGTGAAGGCACACACACAAAACACTAACATACATCTTGCTACTGTCATTTAATTACTGCTTAAAATACTTTGCTCAAACAAAATTATAGTAAATACACAAACTTCAGAAGTCCAATTTTCACAAATCAAGACACCACTACTAGTCAGATACCACTTTCATGTGAAAGTAATAAAAATCTTTAAAACATTCAGCCAAGTTCTAACAAAAGATGGCCTTATAAAACATTATGTAGTAGAGACACCTATGAAAACTTATAAGGATAACTATTCTCATCAAAATGTCACATTAAAGGTAAACACAGAACTTATGTGTTTTCTTTCTTTCTTTCTCTCTGCTGTCACATGGGGATAGAAACCAAGGCCTGCACATGCTAGGCAAGTGCTCTGCCACTGAGCTGCATCCCTAGCTATTTTTGAGAAAATGTCTTACAAAGTTGCTCAGGCTGGTTCATAAATTGGCATCCTCCTGCCTCATCCTCCCAAGCAGCTGTGATTATAAGCATATGTCGCAGTGCCCAGCTTACAAAACTTTCATTTTTTAATCTGCTAATGACAACAGAAATTCATGATGCAGTGACAGTTTCCAACAATGAAATTACTACAGAAATGAAAAACCTGTAGAATATGGAAATATAAAGAGAACTTCTAACTTCTAAAAATAAGTAGTTACAATCAAGTAGTATTTACCGAACACATCAAATGCCAGGATTTGTACATAGATTAAATACAAACACCAAAGTATGGCATTTCTCCGAGTTCATCAAGTTCCAAGGACAAAGTAAGGTACGTATCCTTTATCATCACTTTCACACATAAAAGCCACTCATCTATAAATGTTTTTATTTCCTTCTTTGTGCATGTAGGACTACTTCCCATTGTCCATTAAAACTGCTTCCTATCTTAGGTTCAGCCCACAAAGATGCCTAAAATAGTCCCTGATATGGGGATCCTCACAGTACTTAAAGGATACAGAGTCTAAGAAAAACCTTATCAAATCCACAAACTTCAGTATTTTATAGGCAATGATGGTAACACCTGCATCTACTATATATAACTGGGCTAACTTCAGTCAAGGACCTAGTTACACCAATTCAATTTCTCCCTCTTAAAGTACTGCTAGTAAAGGCAAACTACTTCTTCAAAAAGTCTGTTTTGTGCAATGGACGGTAGACATTAGAAAAGGGAAACTGATTCGCTGTTGCCCTACTTCCATTTCACGTCCAAGGAGAAAACCATTCCAGAGTAGCAAGGGGACCATATACACAAATCAAGAAGGCAGATGCTCCATTGAACTTTGCGGTTACCAGATTTAAACGAACGGTGACGGGATGTGGGGAAAGAAGAGGGATGGTAAACTAAGCTATCCCAGTGTAGCTTAATGGAAAACGTCTACTTCATGAAGCGATCAAAGTAAGGGATGGGAAACAAACGGATCTAGCCGAGCGGCAAACCCAGGATGCTGACTGAGCTCGGAGGTGGAGGGCCTGGAGCCCATGGACCCGAGAAGAGGAACCTCGGACAAACCTTAGGGCCAAGGAAAACCAGCAGCAACGCACAGGGGCCAACGCTGCCACGGACCAGCATGTAAGGGGACACCATGAAGGGAGCGATTAGTTAGGACGTAGCGACAGCAGGCGGGAGCCCAGTGCCAGGGGCGACTTGGCAAGTGGCAATTGCGAAAGGCGAGGCACCGGCAGCCGAAGGTAGTGGGACTCTGTTGAGTCAGCACAGCTTCTACTCTGGGGGCACTTGTAGGATCCCCGCAGCTCCTCAGGCCCCCGGCGGGGGGTCGGGCCCACGGGCCAGAGAAATGATGTTCCCTGATGGACTGGCGCCGGCCCCTTCCCCATTTCACAGGTAAACACTGGCCGCCGTCGCCGCTTACCTCTGTTAACATTATTACACCCCGGGGAAGTGAGGTCCTCCCTAGCCTCGCCGCATGGCAACAGCCGTAGCAGTAGCGAAAACTGCTCGGGCCGCCGCCAACGGCGGCAACTGCTCCTTCAATCCTCTCCCAGGCGGCGGCTTTACTCGGCTTCGCTGGCTTCCCCCCGGCCCGGCTGCTCGCAACCGACGCGCCGCCATCTTGGAAGAGCGACGTCCGCGTCTCCCCGCGACGTGCGCTCCCATTGGCGGGCGCAGGAGCCGCCGGCGTCTCGTGACCGTCTCCATAGCGCCGGCGCGCGGAGGAATGGAGGCGGGCGCGGGGTCGTCCCCTTGCCGCCGGCTGCGGAGTTCCCCGGGCTAGGTGCCCCGGGCAACTCGGGATTGCTGCGAGGGGAGAGAAACCCCTGCCTCGGGGTCGCAGGGAATCTGGAATGCTTGCCCGCGGAGTTCGTTCGTCCTTCCCTAAACGCCTGAGTTGGCCAGCCCTGGGGAGGAGCGAGAATGGCAGAAGCCCAGACTTTGACTGATGGCGCTGCGAATCTCCAGCGTCACGGGGACCGGGAGACTGATTTCCTGTAGAAAAACTTCCATCTCGCATCTCCTGGCCCGGCGGCGATCGAAGAACAAGTTGGGGTAGTCGGCTTCCTTCACTGCCTGGGCTTCAAGTGTGGTCTGAAACGCTCCCCGCGCCGTTCCTTTCTCCAAAACTTTGACAAACTTTCCTTTGTCTCTATCACTCCCCAGTGAGTTCTTTACAAGGGTGCGCTACAGGTTGTAGATGTGATATGGGCATATCGGCTTTAGCTTTGCTCTTGGGGATTTGGTGATTGGACAGCACCTTGCGTAATCAGAAGAGTTTGGTTTTCTTCAAGTAGGAGATCTTTAACATATATCTAAAGCGGGTTTTGCCTTTAACTGCTTTATTGCTTTATCTTTATACAATGTTTTCGTGTTTCCGAGTGAGCAAATTTCATATGTCATTTTATACAGTTCCAGTTTAAATGGGTCTAAACTCTGGAAATCCGTGTGCATAGAAACCCCTGAGACTGACACCTTAGGCAGTCTACCGCTAAAGTGGGATAAAGTATGTAGAAGCGCTCACTTCTTCCTGAATTGTAATGAAGTCCTTTACTCGAACGTACTGTTAACGTGTGCCATATTCTATGTTAGAAATCAGTTTCCAAAGAAATTGACAAGAAAATTTTCAGATTTAATATGCAGAACACTTCAATCTCATTCTTATAAGGGGTATAAAGGCATTTGAAAAACTAAGACCCTTAGTTTCTTCTTTCCCAGTACTGAAATCTTTTCCCTCCACTTACCAATAATACTGTTGTGCTAAGTGTAATTTACTTAATCCGTTCCTCTTAAATTCTCAGAACAGTGAGTAAAGGCATTACAAACCTTGTACTATATTTTGTCCCCACCAAGAAAACAAAATGGTTCATTCAAGCAGTCAAACAGAAAACCAAGAAAACCCTGATTTTGTTCCATTTTACGAGAATTCTAGCGAAGTAGTTTTTGTTGTTTTAATCTATACTTTATACATCATTTCCACGTTGCTGGGTCAGGAAAATTCTGAACTGTGTAGTACAGTAAAATATATTATTGGTATAGAAAGAGCAAGCCATAAATAGGAAATAAGATTGGAAAATACAGCCTGGACTGAGGTATTATGGGAAACCAGGACATACTAGAGATAACAAGAACCCTGGAAAAAGATACTCTTCCAACCTGTAAATAAGAAAACAGAGAAGAAGGCTCATTAATGTTTAAGATCCCAACTAGAGAATTAAAGCTGTAATTTAGGTATCTGGCCTTAGTATTCAATCTTATTCTCTACATCTCTTTCCCTTTTCAGAAGTAAGGCATTTTCACTTGTTTTAAGAATGGTAAATTAAGTTTGGGCACAACTTGAGGTTTGTAGCAACTTGTGATATGACATGGTTATACTTTTAATATTCAGAAGTTTGTAGAACTAGGAGCAAGCTAAAATTGCCAGCTATTCAATACCTTCCCAATTTTCTCATCCAGAGTCCTGTGACCTTAAAACCTATACTAGCTGACCTTCCTAGTCCTACCCCTATTTCTACCTCTGCCCTTATTTCTGCTAAACAATTTGTTCCAGCTACACAGGCCTGCTCCCTGATCTTATATAACAACAAGGCAATTTCAATCCTGGAGCATATGTACCTATTATCTCTATCTGGAAAAATCTTTCCACCAATATCATCCAAGAAACCTACCCTACCATTCCATTTAAGACATTGCCTCTCCCCTAACAGCGTCCCTTCTTTGCTTCAGTTTTTTCATAGTAGTTACACCTAACAAATTACTATTTTTCTTATTATCTGTCTTCCACTAGATCATAAGCTCTATGAGACCATGTTTTCTGTTTTGTTCAGTGATATTTCGTTAGTACCTAAAATAGGGTGGTGTGTGACACAGAGTAGATGCTCAATAAATATATTTTAAATTGATGCCTGAATCATTTCCTAAGACACCATGGAAAAGGCTAGTTAAAACTAATTAGAAACAATCCCTTATGTTGAAAGAGTAAATTACTTAAGTTATACTGCCACTAGAATACTAAGAAGAAAGCTTGTGACAGAATTGTGAGCTATGCCTTTCCCTCCACCTTCTTAAACAAATACTGTTGGGGATGAGTCAAAGTTAATTTTCTAGCAAAGGAAACAAAGTGATTAGGTATGCTAGCAAAGGAAACAAAGTGAATAGGTATGCTATTTCATAATTGTGGAAATTGACTTATATAGTTGGAAAAGAATGCTTACAGAAGCAGCTAGCATTTTAAAAAACAAAGTAAGCACCTAATTTGATACAGATTGCAGTTTCATTCCATGTGGTCTTAAAAACATCCTATTCATATCAGTTATTACAAAGGAAATGTGGAACAGGAAGATCTGAGATGCTGGGTATTTTAGTTATCAATAAGAAATTTAAAACAAAACTATCTTAAGAAGCACATGATAAGGATGCCTCTGTGGTTGTTATTGAAAGAAGTTAGATTTCCCAACAGCAATATCCAATCAGTCTAGCAAAAAAAAAGAGGACAAAAAGAAGCAAAAATCAAGTGTGAAATGCTTTGAAACAGTCCACTGCCAGTGATTTTTAAACCTCCAAGCAAACAGAATATCCAGGTTGTCCATTTTTAGTGTGAGACAAAACAATTTTTTCTACATATTCAGATTGTCACAAATTGCCTCTAATTTCTTTTTGAGAAACTGGAAATGTACAGCATTAACTACCTAAACAAATTTGACCTATCGAACAGTTGTCACATTTAAATATTTTGGTAACAACTTTTTTTTTTAGTGTGTGATTGTTTGGTCCTTGGGATTAAAGCCAAAGGCACTTAACCACTGAGCTACGTCCCAGCCCTTTTTCCTTTTTTTGTTTTTTTTGTTTTTGTTTTTGTTTTTTTGTGTGTGTGGGTTTTTTTATTTTTTTTTTTTTTATTTCATTGAAAGGCAGCCTCACTAAGTTGCTGAGGCTGGCTTTGAGCTTTCAATTTTCCTGCTTTCGCCTCCCAAACCGCTAGGATTACAGGTGTGCACCACCATGCCTGGCTAGTTTTATTTTTAACTGATATAATTGTACAAATTTAGAGTGTACAATGTGATGTTTCAATATGTATATACATAGTGTGATGATCAAATCAGGATAATCAGCATAGCCATCATCTCAAAATATTTATTACTTTGTAGTAAAATAATTACAAATCCTCTAGCTAATTTGAAATATATAATACATTATATTTTATTTAAACATTTTATCAGCTCCAGTTTCTTATAATATTATTAGCGTGATCCACCATCTCTACTGAACATTAATAACTGCCATATATTCATTAACAAAGTACAGGGTCAAAGCCAGCAAATCGACATTGAAATAATGCATTGGAAACAGGAGACTGTAGTCAAGGTACAGACAAGAGCAGACTATCCCAATAGCAGCTTTTATAGAACAATATTAAACAGAAATTCCAGAGCATTTAAGAGTGCTCTGAAGTCTACCTTCAAACAGCCCAGCATGGGTATTTTTTTCTTGCTTGGTACAGTTTGAGAAAATACTGGGCCAACTCAAGACCAACAATCAGGCAGAAATAATATACAGCTCTGCTAACAGCAGATGCAGCCATTATAAAATTACGATGTTCACAAGTCTCTTCAATAACAGTTCTACAATGATACAAAGAGCTAAATAAAAAGGGCAATATTACAAATACTTAAAAGTCTATGGTATATTTCATATGTATTACCAGGTCATAGTACCCCAGTTGATAGTTCTTAAAAGCAAATACTGTTTTAAACCACAAAAAAATAAAAAAGTAGATTGAAAGCACATTACAAACAATTCTTTATTATTGATACTTAATTATGGGTCAGATTGTAGCAAGAATTTGAACGTATTATATCTAATATTTGGAAAAGGTCATCACAGTACATCTTATCATACACTTACAGACCTTGAGAGCTTTAGTCACTTATCCTAGGTAACCTGTAAAAGATACAAGCTATCAATGATGGTATTGAGCTTTTATCACCTGAAGTCATGTTTGTCAAGTTTCTCCACTGTGAAATTACTCTTTTCTCCACTTTTCATACTATACTCCTTAAAAAGAAGACACTCTGTGTGGCCCACACTTAGAGAATGGGAATTTATGTTCCTTTTGAGGGTAGAGTATAAAATAAATTATTTGAAATTATTTTGCATTGGAGATTTGCCTCTTTTCTGTTATTTAATGATTTATATAAACATGAACACATGGGTATTTATCTTAACTTTAGGTTAAAATTCAATACCAGTTTATTTTATTATTCAAATTGTCCCAGCTTTGGTCACTGGAACTTTTTCAGATGTCCTATGTCCCTCTAACAAACTCCTATCAATATGGAGCCATTTATTTTCATTCTTAAGCACTTCTTTATTTTCTAATAGATAGAAAATATTCCAGAATTATCATGCCCCAAGTCTAGAATCAACTATTTCTCTAAGAAACCCTGGTTCCTTTTATTGGAGAATGATATTAGAAACCAGGATAGAAATTTTACTTGCTGCTTGAGGTGTCATTTCTTGTAAGCCTTTGTAGCTGACAAAGCAAGGATAATATATAGGTATACACTAATCCATGTACCTATATATACATATAGGTGTATATACATGGGTTAGTGTATATTTTTTGTATGTAA